TACTTGTCATGTATGATATAGATACTATATAATAAATAATCAAGTTCTGAGACAAGACCTCGTTTTAACAATAAAAAAAGTGTTTAACAAAATCAAGCATTTAAATACTTTATCAAGTCAAATATCAGATTCTAAATCAAATTTTAATATAATTGTTTAATATCCGACTCGAATAAATATTTGAGTGTCAAGTTTTTGTCAAGCACTATCTGCAAACGATAATAATAATAATTAGAAATACAAATATTTTGAGATTAGAAACACATAATATTCAAATCTAATTGACTAATATAAGATATCATTATTCCTACTTATGCTAATTATAACAAAGAGTCACCTACGAATAAATATATATCATTGTGCTCCGATCAATTAATTGAATTCAACAAATATCAAACTAAATAGTACGATTCTTTTTTATACAACGATATTTCCTGGGTACTATTTGTTCAAGTCACCCTTCAAAGATAGATGCTACTAAATAATCAATTGTTTTTATAAGATCACACACAAAACTCAAATTATTATAGTTATATTTGTGTTGATGATAGTATATTAGCTTTTAAACATTACGAAAATTCCGAATATGAAAGTGCTGAGTATGTACAGCAGATTTACTACACAATATTACTTTAAGAAATAGACAAGCATTAATCAAAGTCTGCGCTATGATGAAATTATCGATTTAGAGAAATATTTACTGATCCCCCAAGAAAAATAGTGGTCTTAACGCTAGTAGGTAGAATGTACGTAACACAGTTTGTTCGTATGGACTCTGATAAAGGTGGATTATTAACTTGCGGAATCTGATGATTAAAGTCGTAATAAGCCGTGTCAGTTCGCATTGCTCCTTGTGGTGACAGATGATTAAAGTTGTATAAAGGATTCATCTGTCTAGCTTCTGGTGAGAGTGTGCAATTGAAGTCATAAAGATGCTTATGCAAATACGGATCATTGTCCTGTCTCCGTTCTATGATTGCTCCGTTAGAAGAAGGGATGCTAGTAGTTGAATTATTATGATAACAATGCGCGTCTCTAAAACTGTGACTACTTGATATGACCGTGGATACGGACATCGCATCAGAGTTATCATCACAATTTGTATTTGGACCGAGAACATCTGTGATAACAATGTCAGCATCTTCTTTAGCTTGATCGATAGCACAATTACGTTTGGTAATAGCAGATCTAATTATGGAACTATCCGATATTGATGTCGCGTCACTTTCTTCATCGTGTCTAGATGGCGGTGGTGTCAATGGCATAAACATTTCATCGGTACAGTCCGCCGTAACATTTGATATCCATTCTTGAATGTTCATCATGAATTTTAAAAGATATTAGTTAATCGATCGATTGCGATCAATTATATATAATCTACTATAATCTCGCAACGAAGCTCTATAGCTATATGTTTTGTTACTTGTACTGTATTAAGAAGGCTATAGTCTACT